CAATCAAATGTGTCATTTTTAGACGTTCATGCGTGTATAAATAATACACTTGGATTTGGATTGTATAGTCGTTCTTAAATTTAATTTAATTTTAATTTTAATTATAAAGCGGAATCCTTATTTCTTCTCTATAAATGGAAATATTACGATAAAAAGCCCCCCCCCTCGTAAATTAGCAAATTTACGTTTAAAAAATATCACCATCGTCATTGTTGTCCTGGAAAGAATTTGTTTTCAATATCTGATGTAAAAATGGTGCTAATAATGCTTGTAACTGATCGAGCAATTCTGTTGTTTTGGTACATCGATAATTGTGAAATCGTGAACAGATTCTCTGAATTAAAAAATATTTCTACAATTGTTAATAGCAGTGGTCGATGTCAAATTAACACCTCGGCCAATTATTTTTGGAGGAGGTCAATTTGCTTTTCTCGCCGATTCTCTTTCTCTCTTTGCTGCTTGCATTTTGAAACTTGAACATGCATAAAGACGTGCGACGCCGCGACGCTCTATTTTCAAGCGATATCATGCATAAGATCTTCTGCCGAGTCATTATTGGAATTTCTTCATATTACAGTCGCGCGCTTCTGAAATAAAGAATTTTACACCATATTTATAGCGACTTGTTGTACAGACGCGAGTGACAAAATAGAAGATAATAATGTCGACAAGAAAATCGAGTCGAGATGTTTATCTGATACCAATCACTAATTTGTAGGATTAAAAATTATTTAATCAAATAACTTCCAGACTGAAATGAATCCATTAATCGCTCTTTATATCCAGACTTCAAAGAGAAAATTATTGCATAGGAATATTTCTTAAAGAGGGTTACAAGTTAGGTCCCCCTTATCATGATTTTTATTAGTTTTGAAAATATACGTGGTATAGATCAAAAAATAAGAGACAAGTATTTTTTATAAGTGCTCTTACATTGGGAGTGAAATATCCCTTTCAAAAAACTCGATGTTTCTAAGTGTATAACATCGAAACAATGAAAAATATTCAAAAATGTTTTATAAACAAAGCTTTTAAAAACATTTTATAACAGTGTACTCAGATTTTTCGAAAATATTATGTTTTTTGGAGTACCTTCCCCTCACCAACTTTTTGATAATCTTGAATTGTTCTTATAACCAAGTTAAAGCATATTTAAAGACAAATTCAATTATAAATAACTGTTATTTTCTGAAAGCGCATTTTTAAGAAATGAACTATAAAGATCTCTGTATGTGTGTATATGCATGCCATACGTCCTATGATCATCTTATCCGAGCAATTTATCGTAATAAGGCATATCGTAGCATCTTATACTACAAAAATTAGAAGAATATAACCAAGTAAAACTTAAACAATAAGCAAACCGGCCAATTACACAATCGAGAGTTTTTACAATTTTCTTTTACAATTGACAATTCTTGACAATATTACTATCTTATCGCCGTTTATAGAATTAAATAGTAATAAGATGCGTATTTTTTTTATTTTTTGAAAAAAATCTTGTTTTTGGGGGAAAAACTTTCAAGAAATATATTACTTGTTAGTAATATAATTAATTGAATGATGAATATTTTACATTTTGTCTGACATGATCATGTCAGAAAATAGTTGGCTAGAATATAAATGGAACATGGTACTCATTGAGATATATCACTAAGATCGATAATCCCATTTTGCTATGTTTACCGATATCGTTCTTTTAACCTCAGTTTGACTTAAACGCTGTCCCGCTTGATCCCTTACTTTTTCTCTTCTATCATTCTATTCGTTCCTTCAATACGAAGAATTCATGCTTTCGTGCTTGGTAAAGAAATGAAAGGGAAGAATGCGAATAAACGTACTTACGATATATTGATCCTGCAAGATTGATTCTGCCAATAAAGTTTATTATTACCAATTTTCCAAAAAGGTCGGCACACATGTAAGATGATTCGGAGCTTCCGCCTAGCTTTATGTACAATCTTTGGATACGCACAAGTAAGTAATTAAACTAAAATATCGATGTAGTGTTAATCACATGTAATATCAATAAATAACAAAATTGTTTTAAAGTAATAATTATTTTTTTAATATTAAAGCATGAAAAGAATGTAGAACTTGATATCAACTACGTAGGAATATGTTTAAATTATGCTGTCAACACAAAAAAGGAATAAAGGCATATTGTTATAATATAATGACGACATAAGTTGTATAACACAAACCTATGGTGTATATGCGAATTACATTATACTCGATCGCTACTGTTTACTTCGCATATACGCTGCCATAATTTTCAATCACGACGAAACGCGATTTGAAAAGATTGCTGATATAAATTTGCATTTAAAATTTCACTTGGGAGCATCATCGTAATACTAGCTAGAATATCGACATTTCCGTCCGTTGCGTTAAACTCGGCAGCTAGTCATATATTCGCAACAGAACGGCTGAATAATTCCGTTCGTGTAATGAGCTCGCGCATTTTTTTTTCTCGTTTCTTTCCGCGCGGCATTCTGGCAATCTTTCACTCTTACTCCTTCAAGCAGAGGCAGCTCTTTTCAACGGTCGTTTTTTTCGTTGAAACACGCGAGTACACACATACGCAACGCAGCCTCGAAAGGAGTCGGAATCTTTATTACCAATCTGAGTGCACCTGTGCGGGCGTACATAAAGGTACCTGCTACTCGACGATCACGGTAGGAATAAGGGAGGGTCGTTTTATTTCGACGGTGTTTCAATTTAGCAGCCGCTGCGAAAGAGTTTCGAGCTTTTATCGCGTAACTTTTGCCCGGCGGGGATGGAAAATAAAAGGAAGACGAGCCGAGGGGGCGCGAAGAATCAGGCCGAAATATCAGGCGAAATATAAAAACGAGAGAGACGTCGCGACAAAGCACGAATATTGCGCTCTGTAGCGATATTAGTATCTAAAATTTAAATATAAGTACTTACATGTGCGTGATACAGTCGTGTGTATGATGAGCACTTTTTCTAAATGCTCTCGCATATCTATCTACATTAGCCAGATTTTTTAGCAAAAAAGTATTGTGCAAAATAATCTGCTTCACAAAATTATCTAATTTAAAAACTGCAGCTATTAAATAATTTCTAGCTAAACTCTTTAATTTAATTATTTAGCATCTCTTAAACCCACAAATCATAATGCGTTCTAATAAACTTTAAGGTATATACAGCAAGATCAGAGAAAATGATGAAGAAATAGAAGAATCACTCTTACTTGATATTAGAAGAAAATTTAAGCCCTCATGTATTATACGCCGAACTTATTAAACGCGCTCTTTTAATTTAAGTTTCTATTACGTTAATTGCCAGCCGAGACTTGGGACGTTTCATATATAGCCGACATTTATAAAATCTGAGAGACTTTCCGTATATTCGTTGTTTCTTTCCAGTGACGTGAAATTCCATTATTATCTGTTATCTAATTGATTTCGATTACGTTTAAAGGGACGCCGCAGGCCATGTACGTTTTCGTATTTAACGAAAGTGGAATTTTATTGACGATCTTTATCAGGTCGTTCTTGTCACCTTTTACCAAGAACTCATGTGTGGGTCAAATGCTGTTTAACATCACTCTCTAGTATTTTTGTTGAATTCAATGCGCGATTAAACGTCGATTTCTTTTTACGACGGGTGTAAATCGGAATCGAGATCGAGACAGGATTCACATTTGTTGTATCGAAGCTCCCAGGTGTTCCCAGTAGATGTGCGGTTTATCGCTGCGACAAAAGATTTACTGCGATTATTCCGTCCCACGTTGCATCCGTCATTGTCCGTTTTCGCTTTCAATGTGATTACTGCAAATTGATACAGCTGACGCTTCATATTGTTCACGCGCTTATTCAATCTCAAGACCATATATCTTCGTAAAAATATAGTAAAACAGTTATATATGTTTGTATAAATAACGTACAAAATAATTTGAAAAATGCACGGAAATACAGTGAAATTACATAGAATGCTAATTCAATTCATTTCTCTTTTAAATATTAGAAATAATTGTATTACACATTTTACTATCGTTTATATAATGTTCACTTAAGAAGTTCTACGTTTCATTAAATGAGGCTCTAGTTTAAACTCACTAAAGTGCATTTACTGTTTAAAAGCATGCAAACCTACTTTAACTCCTATTAAAACAGTTATAATGATGATTATAATAGTTATGACAATAATTTTTTATCACCCAATCACTTGCAGTAACATTTACATGGATTAAAATATATAGAGAATTAGCAAATAAAATAAAAACTGCTAAAAATATTGGAATTTGTAATAATTTGTAATTAAAAGTTTAACTTAGACGCGACAGAGGCTCGTAGCATTTGCATAGATGTCGTTATTACGAATGATTAAAGAGAATAAACACGCGAACATACGTGTTCACGCAAAATAAATCGCAATAGATTGTAACAAGTTGCATGTGAGTTACGACGCGAGAAATAATAATCCGTCATTGAGATTCTATTTTCTGTAAAGAAGAATGCTAAGTGGTCTGCAAAAAACATCTTCGCATGCGGTGAACCTGCGTTTTTCTCTTACCTGCATCGTAAAACTGTCGTCAAGAAGTCAAAAAATGCTAATACGAATTATGCGCTAAATTACTGTTGTTTTTGCACTATGAAAGTAGGTCTTTGTTAGTTTTGTCTGAAATAAATATTTATTAAATTATAAAATACATATGTATATAAAAAATAAATATTATATATAATATTTACAAAAATTTAAAAGCTTTACATACATATACGTGTACATACTTAAAGATAAACTTCTCAAAAGGAAGGGTTATCTCAAATATTGTTAAATTTTTAGTATCATAATGACTTTAAAGAATTATTGGAAATAACTAATTTATGATAAGAAATTATATCTTAATTGTATTATTTTTTTATAAAGCTTTTACACATCATATTATTACTTATTCCTATCGAAATAATTTTGAACTATTCAAAATAATGAACGAGGACATTTTTCAAGATCTGGGGAATAAATTCATTACATTCGTATAGTCACGGTTAATGTTTTATTGAATGCGTAGTTAGAATGTTTAGTATTTACATTGATTCCACGTATTCAGATAAATAACGTTGATGAGCGCGAGTCTACGGCCGCATCGCCACGTGTCATGCGTGCCGTGCATAAAACTCGATGTATGGCTAAAGACTGTGACCGCTCATTCCGCATTTCCCATCGCAGAAAAGTCGCGAAATCAGCTTTCGCGAGACATTCGCAAAACACCGATGGCCGCGGAAATGCGAGAATCTTTCCAAAGTACTTACACTCCTTCTCGTCACCTCTTTCTTTACCTTCATTATTTTATACTCCAAAATTTAGCGCTAAATGCTCGATGTCCGAAGGAAAAAATGTTTAAAGGGGATGTAAAGAAGATGTCTTTTAAGCATTTTCTAAACATCTTGTCTTCTGGGTTTTCGTTTTATTCGTTATCTTCGCTATTTTAATGAAACGAGAAACAGAGCTTCGCTCGATGGGAAAGGTTCCTATCATCGGTAGAATAATGTACAAGTCCCGATTTCGTTAAAATAAGAAGGAGGTTTGTGTCTCAAAAGATCAGATCGCTCGCATCACTCGCGTGACGCGCGCCGTTCGAGGACTTTCATCAATCTTGAGTATACGTATGGAAGTGAGTATACACTAGAAGAAGAACGGAAAAAAGAAGAACGGACGAACGAGAACAGAGAGCAAACGCTCGCCCTCTCGCGTTTGCCGCCTCCTCATTTCTCTTTTACGTTTACACGCGGACATTCGTTCAGCTGAATTTGCATTTATCATTTATTTAAACATAGGTGTACACTGCGCGAACAAACACAGTGAGAATACTTCAGTGTATATCCACCCGGAGAATCGCGAGGAGAAAGAACTTTTTTTCCGCAGCTCAGTGACAACGGCACTGCGGAGAGTCGACGGGAATTGAGGTAAGGCTTCTACACCGCGCGGAAAGAACGTCGCTCATCCACCTCGGGTTCGCGTAATCAAGTTGTCGCGAGAAATCTGCTTGCCTTATCTTGTCGCGATTTCGAAGAAACATACACCACGGCTCGAAAGGAGATTTACTTAAACTCTCTGCCACTGACAAAAGATAACAAGATCACCTTAGGGCGGAATTTACACAGCCCTTGCACGTCTAAAATATATTTTTATCGTACGGCAAACAATACCGATCGGTACAATATTTTGTTTACCTTTAAATCAACAACTTTTTACTTTTATTATTTAATCCGTGTATATTTGTCTGTTTCAAATAGATTTGTTTTCCGTTGAATTTGATTTAGAAAATAAAAGAGGCTTTATGGTAGCAGACTAAGTGATTTGATCGAGGAGTATACGACTCATCATTATTAATGGCCTTTCTCCTGCCATGCTGGTCACGACAAATAGAATTTTCGCAGCAACCCCTACGTTATGCAATAACGTATCGTATATACGGTGAGAGCTCGATCAAACGCTATCGAAAGGGATGTTTGGAACCAAACAGAGACATATGCAATCAATGATATGCGGCAAACGATAAGCGATACAAATCACTTTGGGGATTCGAAAATATGAATACCACGATTAATTGGAAGAACGATAAATCGAGCTCTCGCCGTGTACATTTGTCTGCACGTAATATATACGTGTATATATGTATATATGTAGAATGCACGTACGAAGAAAACGATTCACCGATCACGCACACCGAGAGATATCAACGAGGCCGCATATCGAGCGGAAAGGTCCCCATCGGGAAACAAATTTCCTGCGAGAAACCGAGTTTCCTGTCCAAACAAATCCAGGGTAGCCTTTCCGCTTACGCAGACATTTTCACCAATGCATATCTTATTACGTACCTTAGTACCATAGTTCCATAATCCTCTGGTCTCGTTGCGATTCACGCGGTTACCGTCCGAAGTAATTGGTAATTTTGTCGCAATGAAATTGTATTGCACAGCTTAAACAATAATAAAAAGACAATATATTTCTAAAATAGAAATATATTCAAGTAGAGATAAATTCATCACGTTTATCGTGACATATTTCATATTGTGTCCAGAGTCCACACAGCGAGATTTAAATTTATTATTATTTCTGGACAATGTATCGGACAAAATTATTGATCTTTCACAATTCTCAAAACTTTCTTTGAAATATCGTTGTTTACAACAAAAGAAAAAAGAAATTGCGTTTGTATTTACATGCTGAAATCTTATTTCTCATCTTTATCGTGGACAGGAGAACTTGGATTGTAACATCGCGTGCAACGAAACGCATAGATTACGCGCGAGAATTTAAGATTAAAACGTATCCTACGGTAAATCGCTAGCTCAATTCCAAAACGGAGTACAGTCGTCCCGGCAAGCACATTTACACGGCACTCGCGCGCGAGAACGGGCGAGAAAATGGAAGATAAGGTGCGAAGGATCGAAGAATGGCTTCACAGGTGTGCACCGTACCGAGACAAACGGACTCGCCGGCGACTCTCACTGTCCTTGAGCTACAGGACACCGCGTCGGACGAGCACACATCGTGCACGCGCGTACCGCGGCTGTCAACCCCGAATAGCGTCTATCTAATATACGCAAAAGAGACACACGTAAGATAAACCGAGGTATCGTCGAGTTCGCGGATTGTAACACGCGCACAATCATCCCCGGCACCGGAGTTTCTTCCCGGATCGGAAATGAGCGGGGCTCGTGCCGTCACCGGGCGGCAGGACAACGACTTCGGGACCTCGTTTCCTCGCCGGACCCGCCGTCAAGCCGCGGGGGACACACGGACCGAAGGACGCCGCCGGGGCTGCGATAATTCACGTAGGGTAAAGGCTCGTGAAACTCGGTATCCTCCAGCTGACGGCCGCCAGAAGGGACACGAGAAAGTTGCTCGCCAAAATTGCCGGGCTGAGGTTCCTTCTGTCGCCCCCGTGCATCGCCGCCGGCTTCTCCTCCTCTGAAATGAGATTAGAAAGTTGCGTTTCATATGGCGGAAAAGGGAAGCGGGTAAAGTGGGCTGCTTAATTTTAGATTACTCGCTCATGGATGCCGAGGGATCTAGGATGGCAAGACGCTTTTGAAATAGAGCTACGACACATTTGCGTCTGCTTGTATCAATTATGGTCGCAGGCAAAATGTTCATCCTTTTTAGAGATGATTTATTAAGGAATGCGCTGAAAAGTTCGCGGGTTAATATAATCTTATTAACTATTTATTTTCGTTTCTGAAGTAATATTTGCTATACGCGATTTAATATGTTATTATTCCTTAGAAGCGCATAACCCACGAGAAATTTGAATACTTCTTATGCAAATTGTTGTTCTTTCAACCGTAGTAACTTGACTTTAATAAAAAAAAATATGAGCTAACAGATCCCCTTTTATACATGTAAATTGTAGAAGTAACGTAGAAGTAATTGAAATAAAACCGGAATAAATCAGATTAATAACGAACAAAGAATGCAATTATCGTTGTTCTGTCTTTGTTATTTATTTATTAATAATAGAAAATATTTTATAAACATACATGTGTAAACTACGAGCAAAAATGCACGTCTAAAGAAAAGCGTAGAAGGTATTCTTCTCATACGAAGCGGTAAAACCTTTCCCCGAGAGCAGAAACAGCATTTTAAATTATCTCAGGTCGACCGACGTTCCTAGTTGAGATATAAGATGAAACGTGGATCATTTCACATTTCTTCTTGTAGAAAATACCTCTCGGCAATCTGGTCACGTGCGTGACGCTCCCTGGTTGTCACGTGCTTCGGCATCAACGAAGGCAAACAGTGGATGAATATCTGTCGAACTTCTCGAGTTTTCCAAGGCAGTTCTCTCTTTTCACGCCGCCTCAAAATAAACTACTCTTTCGAATACTAAAATTTAATTCTGAAAGACTTCAATAGATAGTGTCCATTTTTCGCTCCACACATGCTATAGTTCTTAACAAATTGCTAGACGTGATAAATCAGCGCAACATGTTTTAAAAATATTTTATAAAATCTACAATATCTCACAGTATCTTTTAGTATGTACTTGAACTTTTACTCCGTTATTTATAAAAATAATATTCGAGTGTGCATTTATATATATTCTAAAATTCGCAAATAATTAATCTAAATGTAATAGTAACGCTTTAAGATTGTCTGGGATAGAACTTTTCAAACTAGTTGCTGTATTTTTTCCAACCTATAATATTGTTTCTCTTATTTTTTTTATAAGTACAGCGCGCTTGGGTAAACAAGACCGTAAAGTTTAACGCAAAGAGATTTAATACAATGTACACTAATGCCTAAGAGAAACTTTCGACGACTGGCGATGTCGAAGGCATGTCGCGGCACGAGCATGGAAAAAAGATTAAACTAAAATCGTGTGAGGGAGGAGGGTATCGCCTTGTGTAAGGAGAAAATAATAGATAAGTTTGATAATGCCCCACGGACACTATCGCGTTGTTACGTAGTTACTAAGCGCGTTAAAGTGTAAGTAAAGCCGGCCCGAAGTTATACACCGTACTTTCAAAAAATTGCGTTCGAACTTCGTCTTCGCGGAACAAACTCGGAGGGCTTCGTAAAAAGTTTCGTCGTTAGAGGGACGGTCGTACAATTTTCAAGCGTCTTTCTGTTATCGTAGGCGAGCTGTGTGAATGCGTCTACGAGAACTGCGAAATCCGATCGTAACGAGCTCCTTACGAGCCGTTTAATTGGTCGGCACTTACTCTAATGAATATTCAAGTTTCGTGGAAGTTACTCCCGGCCGATCGGCGACTGATCTCTTCTTTCACAACGTAACCAGAGCGAGTCAATTACCGTGAATTCAGCCTACTGACACAATCCGCAAGCTGCTCGTACTGTAGAAACCTCGGATCTTTAGCGATCGCATCGCTGTAATCCACGAATCAGCATTGCCGTACAATAGTAAATCCAGAGGAAAATTAATAAAATTTAATTACCGGGTAACGTCAAAGATTCCCTCCTTGACGTGCACACATCAAGGATCGACATATGATATTGCTTGAACCACGTAACATTTGCATTGTACGTTAAATATAACAGCAGATCATCTACTTTTGTATTTAGGTCCGCGCAAAATTTCCTCGCGAAATCAAGGTGGATCATTCGATAAATAATTCTGTATAACACTATTTTATTTAATGTTCCATTTTTTATGAACGTTCTTATTGATAAAATTTCACGATCCATTTTGTTGGATTACGCGTTCAAGAAATTTCCCTCAATTAACATCAAATCCAAAGTTAAATTCAGCTGAAACTAATGAGAATATGGCTTTGTGTTTCTCACCTTCGATCACGTGGACCATGACAGACGCCGCTTTGGCGTTGCTAGGTACGCACGTGTAGTTGCCGTCGTGCGTAAGCTTCGTTTTATTCACCGTCAGAATCGAGCCGCTCGACGTCAGCTTGACATCAACGCCGGGCTCCTCGTCGTAATTTATCATACGACCCTGACGATACCAGAAGACGTAAAGGGGCCTTTCCGTGGCCGCCATAAGTTGGCATTCCAAACGGAGGCTCGAGCCTTGCTTCACGTGCAGATCAGGCGCACCTGGTATTATCGAGTATGCCTCCGTAATCTTGAGACGAGCGAAGTTTCGCTGCACCGGGTGCGACGTCACCTGCAATCGTAATACAGCAATACCTTTAACTTTTCATAGTAACGTAAGACACGAGTTCGAAAGAGTTGAAACATTTGTACCAGGATGACAATCGGGAAATGCTTAAACTCGTCGTCAACCTATATAATTCTGTTTGCTGATGTAACGAGAAAGTTTTTTTTTTTACATAAATTTATCTTCAAATTATCTAAGAAAAGCATAAAATTATATGCAAACACGATTATACATTGATAATATAGTAACGAGTGATTTTATATAAATTTAATATATTATACGATATTATACAAAATAATATTACGAAAATTGAGATATCGTAACTTGAGCATTTTCCACACAACAATAGCCAATTTCAAATTATAACAAACCACATATATTATATTGTAATATATATATTATAAATTGTATTCACATCGTCAAAGCTACGTTGATTGCTCTATAGAGAACCCTGCTGAAGCTAAAGCCGCGGCTAATCACCGCGACCTGAAACAGAGCTTGTGACCGACCGCTTTGGCATTTCAGCTGACATTTTATGCATGCGAAACCTTTAACGAAGTG